TCACAGCTGTAGCAGTAATTACTCAAAATGTCTTTTCTTCCTGTAGCTGATACCAAGATTAACTTTGACCTCTATTAATTACATTTTTTTTTTTTGATCAAGGTTTTTTTATTCAAATTTTCAAATAGTAAACAGCGCCCCAGAGGGGCTTAATCATACAGGCCAACACAATAACACTAAAAGAACAAATACAACAACTTCCAACCCCTCCACCCCCCACCCAGTACCAGACAGCGGGCATACATATTACACATTTTACAGCCAGACCAACATAAAAGAAAAAGAGCAAGAGAAATAAAATTACATATAATAGTTACATTGCAATGCTGTCAGCATCCATATCTTCAACAAAGGTCAAAAAAGGTTAAAAATTTAAAATTAATATTAAAATAAAATTAAAATTTCTTAGTCGCTCCCCTGACAGTATATCTAATCTTTTCTAATTTAAGATGGCACATGACTTCCCTGACCCAATGACCATACATCGGTGGAATAGGATCTGCAACAGAGTAGCTGGTCTGCATCGATCACATGTTGGATCTACTGTACGTTGGAATCGATCTTAGAAAGTCTATATTTGGACCAATGCAGGTGGTGAACAATTTTAAATTGGACAACTGCATGTCTGAGACATATAGAGGAGGAGAAAATTCTTTGGATTACTTTATGCCAATTATCATCTGAAATTGATTCTCCTAAGTCCGTCTCCCATTTATTCTTAAGGAGATCTAAAGGCGTCAAATAATGCATGCTAAGTTAATCATAAATAACACTTACTGTCTGCTTCCTGGCCAGTTTACATTTAAATACGTCTTTTGATCCGTGGTGGCTTTTTGTTCCAAATGAAGGCTGATGTCTGATTATTTAGTTTTGAAAAAAAGGATTTGTGAGAAACACTAGGAGACACTGGAAAACATATAAAAATTTAGGCAGCACATTCATCTTTATAGTATTGATTCTGCCCTCCAAGGAGAGAGGCAGGGGGTCCCAGCGCTAAATATCTTGCTTCAGATTAGATAACAGAGGCTGATAATTAGCTACATATAAATCTTTATGACTGTGTGTAACCCACACCCCAAGATACTTGAGTTTCTTTGGACTAATTTTAGAAGGTAATGAGTCTAGGGGTACCTGGCATGCCCCCTCACCAAAAGGCATCAGTTTAATTTTTCGGAATATTGACCTCGTAGATATTTTGCCAAAATCCATTTACTTAGGAAGGCTCAGAAGGGGCTGCGAAATGAATAATAGCATATCGTCCGCTGTCTATCCCTGCATGCCGGATCCCCCTGATATCAGCATTCTGTCTCAGTGCCAAAGCAAGTGGTTCCATGGCAAATAGCAGTGGCGACAAAGGACATCCCTGCCTCGTACCACGCTGGAGCTCAAAGTAGGTGGACAGATTATTATTAGAATACAGCAGTCCTCAGAGATGTATATAAAAGTTTAACCCATGATATGAATCTGGGACCAAATCCAAACCTCTCTAGCGTGCTGAAAAGATAGCCCCACCCCATCCGGTCAAATGCCTTTTCAGCATCAAGTGAGAGCCCCACTTCTGGGGTACCAGGTGGAGAAGGGCTATAGAGGATATTTAAAAGGCGTCTGATGTTAAAAAAGGAGTACCGATTCCTAATAAAGCCTGTTTGGTCTGGTGATACGATGGATGGAAGAACCCCCTCCAAGTGACGCGCCAAAATTTTAGCAAGGATTTTAACATCCGTATTTAGTAGATAAATTGGACGGTATGAGCTGCACTCAAGGGGGCTCTTATCTTTCTTAAGGAGTAAGAAGATAACTGCTTCACGCATAGTAGATGGTAGGGCCTTCAATAAGATTGACACCTTGAAAACCAACAGTAACAAAGGGGAGAGTTGTCTTGAAAACTTTTCATAAAAATCTGTTGGATAACCATCCGGTCCTGGGGATTTGCCACTTTGCATAGAACCAATCGCTGATGCTATCTCCCCAACCAAGAGGTTCTCCTCCAGCCCTGCAGCCTCCCCTGGATCTAAGGACGGAACATGCAGGGTCTTAAAGAAATCTTCCAATACAGAGGGGTCTACAGATGAGCCGGAACTGTATAGTGACATATAAAAAGTTTGATTACAGGAGTTAATTTTAAGACTTGTACATTTTGTGCCCTGCTCATCATTGACTTCAGGGATGGTCTGATTAGCATTTCTCTGTCTCAACTGGTGAGCGAGAATCTGTCCAGCTTTTTCCCCGTGCTCATAAGACCCATATCATGATTTGGAGATAAGATACTCAGCCTGTCTCGTTGATAAGAGATCAAACTCTGTCTGTAGTGACATACACTTTTTCATAGAGTCTGCCGAAGGTTGATGGCTATGTAACTAGCCATGTATCTAGCTCAAGAATCTCATCCGCCAATTCTTTAAGTCCGGCAGTGGTTACTTTCCTCTGATTAGCACAATATGAGATGACCTGACCTCGTAAATATGCCTTCAATGACTCCCAAATAGTTAGAGAAGACATTCCAGTTGTTTGATTAATATCTAAAAACAATGACATTTTAGATGCAATAGAACTAGTAAAAGCAACCTCATTGCAGTCCTGGTTGTGGTGGAGTTTGGCTATGATGGCGCGTTGTTTCCCATCCTTCCTCTCGAGACCCAGACTTCTGTGAGAGCGGTCCACAAGCACATCTCTATCCAGCTGCAGCGTTTCTCTCAGTTGCTTTGAGACCGATGTTGTAGAGCTTGATCCGTTCGTTTCCGCTACCCCCAGGATCCTGATGTTACATCTCCTCAGTCTTCCCTCCATGTCCTCACACTTATCACAAGTCCTCCTTGTGATAAGTGTGAGGACACTTCTGCTGCCAGGTCACTTACTGTAGTCTGTAAAACTGCAGCCTCGTCCGACCAGGTCGTTAGCCCACCTTCCACCTCTTTAATTGTAGCTTTCATCCAGTCGATTTTGGAGTTAATTGCGACCGTGTTGTTCTTTATTTCTATTTTCACTGCTTGCAACTCTTTCTTTAGAAAGTCGAAATCCTCAGTCAGTGCACTTTTCAGCTCTGTTTTCATCACTGCTGCAATGTCAGTCGTTAGTGAAAGCAGGATAGAGCTCAAACCACAGTCTTCTTACAGTAAATAATCTTATCTGTGACATAGCCATCACCACTGGTCAACAACTGTCAAGAAAGGCAAAAATACAAATAAGACCTTTAAGCTAATTTCAGCATGCTAACATGCTCACAGTGACACTGAAGTTTAGTTGGAGTGATGTATACCATGTTTGCTTGTATAGCATGTTAATAACGTTTTCTGAGTAGCACTAAATACAAAGTACATCTGGAGTTGTCATTAGTTTAGTGTAATTTGTTAACAAAAGTAATGTAAAATGTAAAATATTGATGGTGGGTGGAACCTGCGAGATGAGAAAGCACAAGAACTCCAGGGAAGAAGTGAAGCTAGCGGAGGTCTAACGATGATGGTATGATGGGATGAAGACTGAGTTTTCTTTTTAATGTTGGCATTGGATGTGAATAACTTTATCACTGCAGAATCGTCCAATTGTCTGCTGAAAGGTTGCTCAGCCATTGTGCGGTGTGATCCTTTAAAGGTCTCATCTGTAACAATTAGGGGGAGCTTGTCAGAAATGGAATATAATATTCATAGTTTAACATTGTGTATACTGAAAAACTTCCAATAAAAGCATAACTGACAGACAATCTGCAAAGACCCTTTTGGTTCTTCATCACTCTCCTTCCCCCACTAACTTCCTCCTACTGCAGCCATTTTTAAATCGTTCTCTCATGCACTTCATCACTGTTTGCTCACATTTCCTTTGCTGGAGTGCTCATGCTTCTTTGGCCAGCGGTCAGCAGATAAAGCAGCTCTGTCACCGAGGCCCAACAACAATCTGCTGCCGCTCTGCCAGCCCTGATCTATCTTCTATCATCTGCTATTGGCACACTAGTAAAACCTTAGTCAGCGGGCACACTCCAATTACAGAAAACAACAGTAATGTACAACCCTGTTTACACCTACTGAAAGCAGAAGGAGAGCTTTCCCATAATATTGATGAGGGGGGGTTATCTATCCTGTACAACTTCCCGGGCTGGCCGGACCTCCTCTCCCCCACCTCCCTTACACTCTTGTACACTTTATAGATATCTCCTTCCAACTATCCATTAAAGGCACGCCTTCACGGTCAGGCGTTTACTTTGCCTTTCAGCTCTCTCAGCACTTTAAGGGTCAGCCATTTGCAGCAAGACATATGAATCCCCCGGGCCTTCACGAGACCGCTGAACCATTAATTGAATGGCGGGTCTGCTGAGAGGTTCAATGCAATGACTCTCCCAGAGAATGACGGTCAGTTCCTGGAAAAACCTTACTTTAAGTAGTTCAAGCACAATGGCTCCTTCATTAACTCTGATGTAGCTGACAGTAGCTGATTACAGGCGTATGCCCTAAGAAGTGGTTGTAATAAGTTCTACAGATATGTGATTATGTGACGCTGATACCAGTACTCTGATATGTGTAAGTTATCACAGTAGGTGATGCAGTAGGTCACGTTTGCTTTAAAGCTGCTAACAGCAAATTATAATATGATTTCATGTTGTCACCCAAAAATAGTCCTGTGATGAGAGTTGTAATTGGGGTTGTAGGCTACATTTGAGTTACATTTTCTGTCATATCCTACAGGAACATTAACCCTCATCAGGCTGTGGGCTTTCAACTGTAATCTGTTCTTGTTGTTGCTTTCAGTAATGCTATTAATGGTGATTGCAACTTTGAGATGTTTCTGTGATCATGCAGACAGAGACATTTTTGTCTTGTGAACATTTTCTAGCCATTGACAGATAAATGTTTAAATTCACCAGCCGCTCTATAAATCATTATTTTATGTCTAATCTACGAGCCACTTTCATATTTTACCAGCATTTGGCTAGTGCTAATTTCCCACCCTGCTGACAGGTATTTTAATAATGTCTCCTAAAACTCATAAATTCAATAACAAATTTATTTTTTTTTTCTCCCATTGGGGATCAAAAAAGGAACATCTGATCTTATCTTATTTACATGTGAGTCGATGTGGGTCTGCACACTCACAGTAACTACTTTCTGACAAATGAGTTACCAATTAAATCTCCTGTCACTCAGGGAAATTCTTGATGGGCCTTTCTGAGATTGTTACACCCACACAAGTGGCCAAAAGTGGGACAACCGTAAACGGAAATATAAGGTGTGGTTAATAATGTATTGGTAAATGCTCACTGATGTGTGATGTTTTCCTTTGGACTAATTTTTGTCTGCTCAGTGTATTGTTGGATAATTTTCACCATTGCTTGTGTTCTTGTAGGAGTTGAGAAGTCTTGCAACTGGGAGGGGGACCGACAGGGGAGAGGCCACAGCAGCCACATGGCCGTATTTTGCGGCCATGCATGAGGCCATCGACGGAGGCCATCCATTGATCCTCCCATCCTGATGGACTCAGCATCAACATCAAACATGTTGGTGGCTCAACATCCTTCACTTTTTCAAACTACATTCACAGTGACAGAGGTGATCATGGTCATATTGAAACTGAACATCAGCACGTAAGAATTTCTGATTTTTCAGTCTCGACCTCAAATGGTTCTGTCCATAAGCAAAACCTGCAGCCTGCTTACAGTAATGCATCATGACTCAACACTGAACATAAAACTTCATATCACATGAGTCTATTTTGACATGCCATACAATTTGTAATGATGACCTGTGGATCTGTAAGCCCTTTGAGATTATAACAGTAAGGACTCTTAAACTCATAAACTTTAGCATTGTAAATGGTAAACGGACCTGTACTTGTATAGCGCCTTTCTAGTCTTCCGACCACTCAAAATGCTTTTACACTACATGCCACGTTCACCCTTTCACACACTCACACAGAGATGGCAAAGTCCATTGAACAGAAACTAACATACATATTCACACACCGATGCACGGCATCAGCAGCAATTTGGGGTTCAGTATCTTGCTCAAGGATACTTCGTCATGTGGTACCAGGAGCCGGGGATCAAACCCACAACTTTCTGATTAGGGAACGACCGGCTCTGCCTCTGAGCCACAGCCGCCCCAACATGAAAAATAAGAAGACAAAATCTGAGTTCTGCATGTGGCCAGTGCTCAGAAGCTGTATTATCTGTCAAAAAGATTAAACGTAACACCCTAAGGACAATAATAACTGGCCATAAATTAACATAATCTCGTCACATAATCATCACACAATCATTCAACTCCACAGGGCTATGGACAGGAGCCGAGAGCTGGTCTGCCAGTCTGTCTCGCCGGCCATTTCCACATTGTTCCACTCTCTCGAGGCATTTCACCCTCTTCAGTGGGCTCTGTGATGTCTGCAGTAAGACGAAGTGATGTCTGCAGTAAGAGATGTTGTGGAGGACACAGCAAGCAGTGATAACAGCAGGAACAAAGGCATGGTCCACCGCCAAGGCCTTAAATTGTAGACACCTCCATCTCACCTTCACACCATGCTCCTCTCCTGTGGAACCAGCTTCCAGTTGTGGTTCGGGAGGCAGACACCCTCACCACATTCAAGAGTAGGCTTAAGACATTCCTCTTTGATAAAGCTTATAGTTAGGGCTGGATCAGGTGAGTCCTGAACCATCCCTTAGTTATGCTGCTATAGGCCTAGACTATCGGGGGATTTCCCATGGTGCACTGAGCTACTCTCTTCCTCTCTCTTTCTGCACTCATTCATGTCCCATTAATGCATGTTACTAACTCCACTTCTTCCCCGGAGTTCTTGTGCTTTCTCGTCTCGCAGGTTCTCATGGATCCTGGTGGAGCCTCCTGCCATGGTCCTGCTTGACTGCCATTGCCAATACTGTTGTTGCTGTGCACCTGTCTGTCTGTCTGTCTCTCTCTCTCTCTCTCTCTCTCTCTCTCTCTCTCTCTCTCTCTCTCTCTCTCTCTCACCCTCACCCCAACTGGTCGAGACAGACGACCACCCACCTAGAGCCGGAGGATCTGTCCTAGGTTTCTGCCTTTTAACAGGCAGTTTTTCCTTGCCCTTGTCGCCAAGTGCTTGCTCATGGTGGTACTGTTGGGTCTCTGTAATTAATGTTAAAGAGTTCGGTCTAGACCTGCTCTATTTGAAAAGTGTCCTGAGATAACTTCTGTTATGAATTGGCGCTATACAAATAAAATTGAATTGAATTGAATTGAATTGAATCATACCAAAGGCTTTTCTATTATGTTGCAGCCTTTGGCATGATGTTGGTCAAAGCAGCTTTGTAGCCTCCCCTGTAGTGGCTCCCGATATGCGGTGATGATGGCAATGGGCTGGTCAATGCAAGGTAAACCACCATCCCCCATGATAAAATTTCCTGGAAGAGGGTACAGAGCCTCTTTGTAAATGGTGCTTTTCTTGAGGGTATAGGTGTCATGCACTGACCCAGGAAATCCCACCAAGCTGTGGAGGAACTGGCCCTTCCCATTACATACTGCCAGCAGCTGTATTGATGGGAAGTGCTTATGGTTAATGTAGTCCTGGCCACTGGGTCCACAAGGGGTCTTGTTATATGTATCAACTGTTGATGGCACCCACACACTTCAAAAAGACAGGGCTGTTGGCCAGGTGCTGGAAGTACTGCCCAATCTCCTTCAGCTTTGCAGCAGGAGGCAGTTTAATCAGCTGACGTTGGAGAGCAACAATCTTCCCAGCTCTCTTGTGGACCAGTCTGCAGACAGTGGGTACAGAACACAATGGTCTGCTGTCGCTATTGAGCATGTTGGCTCACAGGAAAGACTTGGCTACACTAAATGGAACAGACCTTAATTAGTATCATTGATAACACCTGTGTTTACCCTACTATTAAATGTCAAAAAGGTGTAATACATAAAACAGTAGTTTCCCAAATGTATTTCTAAGGGAGCCCTTTTCTATAAAGTATATATATCTTCTTCTTTCTATCATTAAGTAAACTTACTCAGTGACATATTTTATGTATATGTCATGTTACATTCAATGCATAACAAACAGTAGAGAACAACTGATAAACAGTGAACACAATAACTGCAGGAAGTTTGTGTAAAATCTGAGATTTGGATGAATTTTGAACAGATTATTTCCTGTGAATATTGATCAGAGATGAGTTTTCCAAATATTTTTATGCAATTCTCTGTAGTTTGTATTTTGATACATTTTAATAATATTATAATTATAATCATATATTATATTTAATAGGCTGTGTAATTTTTCAGGTTTTCTTACACCCCTTAAAATCAAGAAGGCTCACAATCCCCTGTGAAGCTTTGGGAAGAACTGACTTAAAATAACAGAAATAACAGCTCATATATGAAATAGTGCCGGCGACAACGGCAGCCTGTCATGGCAGCTCCTATCATTGTTGTAGTTTTAGTGTATTTTTAGTGTGTTTTTAGCCTGTGTTTTTTTCTATTTTTAACTGTTTTCTTACTTTCTTACTACTTTGTTCACGTCGCCGAAATACTTTTTGGCGTTTTTGAGCACTTTTGAATTTTTGTTTGCATGGGTCTCCATGGCGACGGGGAGTCGCATTGTTTACACCCTCGATCAGATGATCGCCCTGAGGCACCCTAGCATCCTGACTGGAGAGAGACCCTCCATACCATACTTCAACCACATTTCTCTCTCCTCCACACTCCCAACCTTCCACCAGTTTGTCACATGCACCACCAGAGACAATAAGACCTTGGACCTGCTGTATGCAAATGTTCCTGTTTTTATATCTGTATTTATTTCACTCAAATGTTGCTGTGACAAGTGAATTTCCCCATTGTGGGATTAATAAAGTTATCTATCCATCTATACAACACAAGCTACAGCTGTGACCACAGCAATAACCCAAGCAATGACGGAAAATGTTGCATTTTAACAATTTTCTGGAGAGACCTGAATTAATCTTTGTATGAAACAGGAACATTTTAATAGTGATGCCTCCATATGACCTACATAAACAAACAAAACCATCAGTGAGAAGATTTAATACTTGTCCTAGAATCAACACAAAATGAAAGTTCCTTGTAGGGACTTTATATAACGTTACGTTTGTGACTTTCACATACTGTACTTATTTTAACCCAAATCATGTTTTCCTAAACCTGACCCAGAAGCTGTGTTTCCTTTATCTAACCACACAATGTTAACTATGTCTTATCTCATACAGACAAAGTGTACCTTATGCTTCTTTGATACATGTCAGTATCTAATGACTTGGGATGAGAACTTGTTGAGCCATTACACATTTGGATGTGAGAGTGGGTTGCCTGTGAACTGTATCAGCCTGACACCAACACCCTTCCAAAAAACCATCCTCCAAAATCAATTTGTGTTGCATTCTTTGCTATTAGGTCACCTTCGCTGGTCCCCTCTCTGCAGACGACAGAGACTCCTCCTGGCCTGCTTCAGTCACACACGCACACACACACACACCTATACCTACACACACATAATAGCAATTTTTGCAAATAGCAAGTCTTGACTTTGACCTGAAAATGAAAACCGTTCAAAAACCTTCAGTTAGAAAAGAAACTGTTATCCTAGCTGTTTGATAGAAACATGAAATAGCATCTTCCTGTCATAAGTATAAACGGGTTACAGCACACTTAACATCACAGTTCACAAGAAGGACACATTGACACATTCTAATCAACCAGTGACTTATTGGTCACACTACACACATCACCCACCCTCTTTCATTGATCTCAAAAGTCATCTCCCATTTAAATTCTACTCTGAGTAGTACTCCAGTGTAGAGAAGCTAGTACAGGAGAGATATTGTTGTTGTTACTTCTAGACTGGATTACTGCAACTCTTTATTATCAGGCTGCCCCAATAAGTCCATTAAGACGCTCCAATTAATTCAGAACGCTGCAGCACGAGTACTTACAGGAACTAGGAAAAGAGATCACATCTCTCCTGTACTAGCTTCTCTGCACTGGCTCCCTGTAAAATGTAGAATAGAATTTAAAATCCTCTTCCTCACCTACAAAGCTCTTCGTGGTCAGGCCCCTTCATATCTTAAAGAGCTCATAGTACCGTATTACCCCATTAGAACACTACGTTCTCTGAATGCAGGGCTACTTGGGGTTCCTATAGTCTCTAAAAGTAGAACAGGAGCCAGAGCCTTCAATTACCAATTCAATTCAATTCAATTCAATTTTATTTGTATAGCGCCAATTCATAAAAGAAGTTCTCTCAGGACACTTTTCAAATAGAGCAGGTCTAGACCGAACTCCTTAAACATTTACAGAGACCCAACAGTACCACCATGAGCAAGCACTTGAATACGTTGGCAAGGAAAAACTGCCTGTTAAGAGGCAGAAACCCAGGACAGATCCTCCGGCTCTAGGTGGGTGGTCGTCTGTCTCGACCAGTTGGGGTGAGAGAGAGAGAGAGAGAGAGAGAGAGAGAGAGAGAGCGAGAGACAGACAGACAGATAGGTGCACAGCAACAACAGTATTGGCAATGGCAATCTAGCAGGACCATGGCAGGAGGCTCCACTAGGATCGATAAGAACCTGCGAGACGAGAAAGCACAAGAACTCCGGGGAAGAAGTGAAGTTAGTAACGTGCATTAATGGAACATGAATGAGTGCAAAAAGAGAGAGGAAGGGAGGAGCTCAGTGCACCATGGGAAATCCCCCGATAGTCTAGGCCTATAGCAGCATAACTAAGGGATGGTTCAGGACTCACCTGATCCAGCCCTAACTATAAGCTTTATCAAAGAGGAATGTCTTAAGCCTACTCTTGAATGTGGTGAGGGTGTCTGCCTCCCCAACCACAACTGGAAGCTGGTTCCACAGGAGAGGAGCTTGGTAACTGAAGGCTCTGGCTCCTGTTCTACTTTTAGAGACTATAGGAACCACAAGTAGCCCAGCATTCAGAGAACGTAGTGTTCTAGAGGGGTAATAGGGTACTATGAGCTCTTTAAGATATGAAGGGGCCTGACCATGAAGAGCTTTATAGGTGAGGAGGAGGATTTTAAATTCTATTCTAAATTTTACAGGGAGCCAGTGCAGAGCAGCTAGTACAGGAGAGATGTGATCTCTTTTCCTAGTTCCTGTCAGTACTCGTGCTGCAGTGTTCTGAATTAATTGGAGCGTATTAATGGACTTATTGGGGCAACCTGATAATAAGGAATTGCAGTAATCTAGCCTAGAAGTAACAAATGCATGGATTAGTTTTTCTGCATCTGTCTGTGACAGGATGTGTCTAATTTTTGTAATATTACGTAAATGAAAAAAGGCAGTCCTAGAGGTTTGCTTTATGTGGGAATTAAATGACATGTCCTGATCAAAGATCAGAGCAAAATACTATATATATACCGGTATAATATACCGTATTTTCCGGACTATAAGTCGCACTTTTTTTCATAGTTTGGCTGGTCCTGCGACTTATAGTCAGGTGCGACTTATATATGAAATTTAACATGTTTTAAGGCTTAACCAAAGTACTCCAGCCACTCAACATTTCAGTGAACCAGAGCTTTAAGGCAGTCTTGCGTCGCCTGTGGGAGGAGTGGATTGTGGATGGAGAGCACAACTTTACGGCAACCGGGAGGATGCGCCATGCAACTTTCCAGCAAGTCATTGGATGGATCGACACAGCATGGACTTCAGTGACAACCGAAACCATGTGTTTAACTTGCATTTCCTGATTGAATGTCTGTTCTTGGTCTTGGATGCTGTAAAATAAATTTCTAAATAAGGTAGCCTACCGAGTATTTCCTATGCTGCCGGCGTTTGCCTAGACATTGCCCAAAATGCTTGATTGCATTGCATTCTCCACATTTTTAGCTAAATTTTCATGTACCACATCAGCATTTTTGTTCAGTGAATCTTTTGTAAATTGGCCGCCTTCATATCGCCCAGCTCACCTCATTTCACTCCTTCGTCTTCATTAACATTCCCGGTAGAATTCTCAATCTTTTTGGCCTCTATGTGTCCAGTTATGTAGTCTCTGTCTGTTCTTGCTCATGGATTTTGTGAAATATATTTCTAAATAAATGCGACTTATAGTCCGGTGCGACTTATATATGTTTTTTTCCTCTTCACTAGCTATTTTTTGACTGATGCGACTTATACTATATAGTCCGGAAAATACGGTATGTGAAGAATGTGGATCCAAAAGGAACTCCAGAGCAGCTAAGTGAGACCTGAGTCGTACAACCTCCTCTCAA